CTGCTCTGCAGTTGCAGTAGGTAGGACCATGGGTACAGCTGAGGCTGATACTGTACATGTCCAGGACATCTCTGAAGTTCAAATCTCCTGTAAAATCACAATAGCTTTTCTCTGTGTCATAGCATTTTGTTACTGAAGCTCTCACAGCAGAAGTGGGTCCTAACTGTAATGTAGAAATCCTTTCAGTCTCCAGAATTTCAGTGTAATAAATTTAGAGCCAGTCAAGTATTCAGTACTTCTCTTGCATTGTTGGGCTGCTCAGGTTGAAGTTATTTTCTGACCCTTTGGTCTTCAAAAGCTAGCTTGAGGCATTAAGTAAAGTCTTTAAAATATTGAAATCCTCATCTCCAGTGTTCTGCCTGTAAATTGCACTTGAAAGCAACATCTCACATGGAGTTTGGCTTGTGAGAAATGGAAGCTGTCATAGTAAACCTGCTTCGGTGAGACAGGAGGCTCCTAGCCCCTGTGGCCATTTTCATCTTTGGGTGGTTGTACGATCTGATTAGTGCTGCACAGGGAACAGTTTTCTTAGGGAATGAAAATTTGATGTGGTAGAAAGTAGGAAGATTAAAAAAAAAAATAAGACAAATGTAGTCTTTTTCCCTTCATCTGTCTTCAAAAAAGTGGAGAAGAGCTGAATGTCTGGATTGGCCTTGTGATTTGTGTACCTGCTTAGAGGACATATCAGTTCAAGCAGCCAGTAGATACCTCTCATTCAAAGTGGGGCAATTCCAGTGGCTGAGTTGGACAAAGCCCCATGACAGTGTAGGTTGATGGTGGTTTGGTCACCAGTAATAGGTCAGTGTTGTCTGACTTGGGAGAGGATAGGATTGAACAAGAACGCCTCATATTCTGGGGTCCGAGCTACTTCCGTGCTACTTGGATGTTGTGGTGGGTTTCTCTCCCTCAGCATCATGTTTTCATCACTAGAAAATCCAACCTAAGAGGCCTTTTGGCTAACGTTTCATCATCACAAGTACATTTCTGCTACAAGATTCTGTTTCACCAAATCTGTGGGTTTTTTCCAGCAAGAAATCATTTCATCAGAAATTTCCTGACCTGCTCCAGCTGTGATTGTTCAGCTCTAAGGTCTGGGGCACACCAAGAGCTGAGCAAATCTGCCCTTTGCTGTCATGAGCTGCAGCCCCGAGCTGATTTCTTAAGAGCAGCAGCAGGATGCTGTGGTCATTGCGGGATCCTCTGGACATCTGTCAGGAAGTGCTGCCGTGTCACGTTACGGGGGGAGAGCGGGGAGCCCTTTGAAATGCTTGAAGGGGAGCTGATGGCAACGTGCGCTCGTGCGCCTCCATGCAGGCTCTGCTTCCTGTTATCTGACGGTGCCAAGCAAGCAGAGTGCTTGCAAAGAGATTGCATTCCCGCTGCTTTTCTCTTCAGCTCTTGGTGCAGATGATCAAAGAGCTCTTCTGCTGCAAGTCTTACTTTCAGTCTTTCCAGATAGCAAAATAACATTTAAATGAGAAAGTTGTCATTAGAACTTCCCCGGTACTAGGGGGTCTCTTGGTGGAGTGTTTATCAACTGATGATCTTGTTTCCATTTGAGGTCTGGGGCGTGTGCTTTCTAGTTCTTTGCTTCCTAATGTCATTGCAGATAGGCCCACATCTTCAAAAATAGCCTTTGATCTTGAACCTGTTGTCTTTGTGCATGCAGTCATCTGTGCCCAGAAAAGCATTGGCTTGTGAAAGCAAACAGCTTTTTGCACCTGTGCAAGCTTGTTTGCTTCCTTTTCTTAAGCAGCATGATTTATGAGCAGGTTTCTAGACCCCTGAGAAATGTGGCTGATAGTAACACTGACAAGAGGGGTGGTGGAAAGTGGAAAACCTGAGCATGTGCACACACTGAAAAGTTGAGGGTGTTTTTGCCCCCCAGTCACCCTGCTTGAAGGATGTATGTAGTACTGAGACTTAGCAAGTCCAGGTTCAGTTCCTGGCTGGGCTGCAGACATGGCCTATGGGACAGAATCACTCACTTTTACCCATCTACCTTGGTTTCTCCATGTGAAATAGAGTAATTTTTCCAAAACTCACTCCAGCACTGGGAAGACAGAGTACTTTTTGTCTGTGAAATGCCTGCCTGCTGGCCCATATAGCTCTTTACCTTACTGACTGGCTGGTATGCGAAGTCACATCTTTGTCTTTGAAGGATGCAAGAGTTTGGCTCAGAGGGTTTCTGCTCATCAGGGAAGCCCACTGTCCAGTCTCAGCAGTGTCTTCCCAAGGCACTCATCCTGTACCTGAGCAGCGTACAGCAGTGTGCGAGCACAGGTAACTGCCCCCATGGGCAAGGGAAGAAGAGGCAGGTGCAGGGAGGGAGCAGGTTCCAGCCTTCTGGCTAAATAGATAAGGATTTGAGA